TCCCACTTTGTAGCAGCTGGTTCATTTGGGCTGCCATTCGCTCATGGAGAGCAGTGAGTTTCTTTAGCCAGTAGGCATGGATCATGTCAGGCCCTGGTGCTGTCCAGTTTTTCATACCTGAGACTCTTTCTTGGACATCTGTCACAGTGATGGTTACCGGGGCTTGCTCAGGGAGGTTGCTGTGGTCCTCTCGTAGAGAGATCAGCCACTGTGCATTGCTGTTGTGGGACGCCTCCCTTTCCCATATGCCTTTCCAGTATTGTTCCGTCTCCAGCCTTGGTGGGTCTGCTCTGTTGTTATTGTTACCCTGCCATTGAGAGTACACCTTAGCTGGTTGAGTGGAGAAGAGCCGGTTAATCCTTCTGGATTCATTCTCCCTTGTGTATCTCTTTAGGCGGCTGGACAAGGCTTGGAGCCTCTGTTTGGCAGTCTCGAGTGCTTCAGGTATGGGCATCTGCCTGTACTTTCTGGGTACTGGTCTTTTCATTGCACCCTTGTGGAGCTCTGACAGTTGGCTCACTTCCCTCCTTGTTACCTTGATTTTAGCCTCTAACCGTCTTTTCCATGGTGGGTATGGGTCTATGGTTGCTCTTATAGCCAAGTATCTCAAGGATCATAAGTTAAGTTGTAGATCAGCTCATTGGTTTCTGTTATGGTGTTGGTAGGGATCGTTCTCAATGCTGCATTCACATTCTCAATGAGACTTTCAGATGGTACTTCACTCAGCCGTTGTAATTGGCGCCGGGGAGGCCTGGTTGTCATTCGGGTCATGATTCTCTCTCTCAGGTCAGCAGCTGTCTCGTTCAGCTCTGTTTCGCTCATTGGGGCCGTGTATCCCCTCACTGGGTGGGGACTTGTAGTTAAGTCCCCACAGTCCTGACATCCGGGTTCCTCCCTTTTGCCGTAGCATTTGTGTTGTATCTCGTCAATCTCAAGTTGTGATAGCAGTTGCCGTTTGCGGATGTTGGAACACTGAGCTACTAGTTGTTTAGCGCTTAGTGTTGACTGGGGATGTCGAAGTAACCATTCCTTCCCCAGTCTTTGCATGTAACCTCTCTCACTAGGGTTACTTGAGTAGTAGCATTCCAACAGATCCACATTTTCATCTCTCGCCCATTTCCGTCTTGTTCCAGTAGCCCATTTGTCATCAAGGTGCTCTGGTTCCCCAACACCTGACGCAGACCTTGTTTGGCCGGGCGACGTCTGAGCCGGCATGTTATGCAACTTAGTATCTCTCATGGTATGAGGTAGGCAGTAGCTTGAAGGGTCTTGCCTAAGGACCCAGACTGGATTCGAACCCTGCCCTCTCGGGTGATATACTGATGCCTTATGTATTGAGCTATCCAGTCAGCTATATACATATATATATATATATATATATATATATATATATATATATATATATATATATATGTATCTATAGATATAGATTTATCTATCTATATATATAGATATTTTAAGATCTACCTATAGAGCTATAGATATCTAGATAGATGGATCTATCTAGATAGATTTGATAGACAGACAGACAGATAGATAGATAAATACATAGATACATAGATAGATCTATATCTATCAGGGGTCCCCAAAGTGGGTTCTGGATGTCCGGCATCCTGCATGTTTTAATTCTCTCCCTGCTGGTACCAACGACTTTTTCAGCATGTCAATGTTCTTTTTAGGCCTCGAATGAGCCATCATTTGATCCAGGTGCGTTAAACCAAGGAGAGAACTAAAAAGGATGCCGGACCTCCAGGACCCACTTCTGTCTGTCTGTCTCTCTCTCTCTCTCTCTCTCTCTCTCTCTATTTCTCTCTCTGTCTGTCTGTAGGGAAACCCGAGTACCCAAAGAATACCTTTATTTAAAGTATGATTGCTTAATTTTAGTAATTAAGAAAATTACAGACAATATCTATCTATCTTTCTGTCTGTCTATCTAAAGATTGATAGATATCTATAGATCTACATCGACGGATCTATCTAGATCTTTCTATCTATAGATCTATAGATAGATCCATCTATCTTTCTATCTGTCTATCCACCATTTTTGTAGGGAAACCGGGGTACCCGGAGAAAACCTTTATTTAAAGTACGATTACTTAATTTTACTAATAAGGATAATTACAGACAATATCTATCTGTCTGTCTTATCTATCTGTCTATCTATCTAGACAGATAGATACATATCTATTGATCTATCGATCTGTCTGTCTTGACTATCTATCCAACATTTTTGTAGGGAAACCGGAGTGCCCGGAGAAAACCTTTATTTAAAGTACGATTACTTAATTTTAGTAATAAAGAAAATTACAGACATTATCTATCTATCTTTCTGTCTGTCTATCAAAAGATTGATAGATATCTATAGATCTAGATCGACGTATCTATCTAGATCTTTCTATCTATAGATCTATAGATAGATCCATCTATCTTTCTATCTGTCTATCCACCATTTTTGTAGAGAAACCGGAGTGCCCGGAGAAAACCTTTATTTAAAGTACGATTACTTAATTTTAGTAATAAAGAAAATTACAGACATTATCTATCTACCCATCTATGTACCTTTCTGTTGTTTTTTTAGGGAAACTGGAGCACCCAGCGAAAACCTATTATACTTACTTACATTTGCTAATATATGTCTAACGTAGCTGACGAACAATCTCACAAAGATGTTAGTTCAAAGTTGAACCACTTGGTCGCACTCCTTGGCCAGTTGAGAAACATCATCCAGTTGATTCAGGGAAGAGATGGGAATTTTATCCTCTTGCTACTCTGTGGGGAATCGTCAGGGAAGCGCACAGTCCTGGATTTCAGTGAGGGAAGTGTGACAGGCTCGGTACTGCCAACTTCTCATGACCGAGTGAAGGATTGCTGGTTTTTACGTCGTCATGTCTGTCAGTAGGATGCCTGTTATGTCTCTGAATAGAATACCCAAGAAAGCTGTAAGGATCATGCTCAAGAAAGCTGTGAGTAGAAAGCACGTTATGTCTGTGAGTAGAATGCCTGTGATGTTTGTGAGTAGAATGCCTGTGATGTTTGTGAGTGGAATGCCCGTCATGTTTGCCAAGAGAAAGCACATCAAGTTTGTCATTTGAACGCATCTCTTCTAGCTCAGGAGAATAGACGTCAGGTTTGCGATATAAATTTACGTGAGGTTTGTAACCAAAATGGACATCCGGTTTGTGGCTAGCATGCACATCCGGTTTGTCAGCAGAATGTGCCATTCTTCTTCCCACAAGGGACTTGGATCCACTTCTCTCTGGTGCTGCTGTTGGCAGAGTCTCCTGAACTTTGTGATGAACTGGCTTTTTATGAGCAACATTTTTACTGTCCTCTGGAGATGGGACCAGTTCAGGAAACCTGCTCTCACTCTTGTGTTGTACCAATTTGGATTGGAAACCTTCCTTTGGGCCATTTCCACTCTGAAATATTTCTCTCTGTCTTCTAATTTCCTCCCTAATGATTGGTTTAGTCTTCTCCTGGGTGCTGAATCTCTGCTGCTTCTCCTTCTTTTTCTCAATTTCTTCCAACCTCTGCAGCCGGTCCGATTCCATCAAGGAATGCAACTCCTGCTTTTTCATTCTCCATTTCTATCTTCTTCTGCCGTTTGTATTCAACTTGATCATCCCAAGCAGCAGTCAAAGATTTTTGCATTTCAGCTTTCTTTTTTCTCTCCTGTTCATCAAGGAACCTTTGGGGAATCCTCTGTGGAGCCATGTCCTTATAAAACTTTTGTCCCTCCAAAGCATCTTTGGCAGATCTGAAGTTGTGTTTTTCCACAACTTCAGATCTGGGCAAATCAAAAACGTCTCGTTTTGTCTTTTTAAGCGGCTCTGATAGTTTTTTCTTCTGTCTTGTTTCTTCAATGATTTTCATCCTCTGTTCTCTCTCCAAATGATCAATTCTTTTTCGTAAATAAATAGTTTTCCAGTTCTTTTCTTCTGTTCCTCTCCTTTTTTAACTAAGGCTTCCAGTTTCTTTTTATAGTCAATTTTTCTCCTGAGTTCTTGGTCCAACTCAATCGCTGTATTAATATCTATTCCCTCTTCTGAAATGGAGCTGGACGTGGAGCAGGAGCTTTTGCTCGAATCAGAGTCGGAGGTGGAGGAGGAGTCAGCTGTTTCAGGCTTTTTCTCTTTTGCTTCTTTTTTCTTCCGTCGTTCTTCTTTTTTCTTCCGTTGTTCTTCCTCTTTCTTCAGTTTTTCTTCCTCTTTCCTTTGTTGTTCTAAATATTTTGGAAGACTAGGCAACTTTTCCAACAAAGTATCCAAATAATTGTCCTTCCCTACAAATTGGGAATGTTGATTTAAGTTTGGTCTACCGTTTTTTGTTGTAATAAAAGGCAGCAGCCTTTTTGTTAACTCGTGTGTTTCTTTTTCTAACTTCTTAGCCATCATGATGAAACTATCAATCTCTGGGGTTCTGCACATATGACTCTAGAACACACACATCACTATTTAAGAGGCTTCAGAGGTGATGTCATACAACCTTTGATACAAAGCATGGGATCCTAGTGACATCATCAGTTAGGTAGAAGAGTGACATTAGTTGCTATTGCTATGGTAACCAGGAAAAGCTCTGAAGTGATTCATGCTTTCTAGTGAAGGAGATGTTAACGTGTTCTGTGGACTAGTGGGAGAATTTTATATATATATATATATATATATATATATATATATATATATATATATATATATATATATATATATATATATATATATATATATATATATATATGTTCCTGTCCATTTTATAAAACAATGGTAAACAAGCAAGTTTTAATTGAAATCAATAGCTAAAGGAGCATTTGAACATCACCTCCTTGAAGTTGTCCATAAATCTGTGTGTTTAATCCATATTGAGGTGATAATGTGGTATTTGCAAAGAATGCATCAGCAAGTAGTTCTGACTTATATTAACCTATATTGCTTTGAGAATTGGATTCATATGGAAAGACACAAATTATTTCTTTGCCAATTCAAATCTTAAGCCCATAAAGGAAATACTTTAGTTGACAAAAACACTGAATATATTAGGACAAATAGTTTAAAAACCACAAACATATTTTTAACTACACATAATACATATCCTCACATTTACAGCATAAACAACCAGATATGACACTGATTAAGTTTCCTGTTTAGCACACACTTTGAAGGGGCTAGTGGGACCCCAGCTCCAAAACCAGAAACTGTGGGTAAATGCAAACATAAATCAGGGCTTCGGCTGATTTATAAAGGCATTCTCATCCTCTGTAGTGTGCCTTGAATGTCTCAGAGATGCAGAGTCATTGTGTTTTTTTCTCTCCCTTTGGCTTGAGGAAGAAGGCTGGCTGCGTGCAGCAACGGTAGCAAAAAGCATGAGGCACAAGAGCGTACAGGACATTAACAAGCAAGAAGACAGACTGACTGTCAGCTGGTACTCTGAAAGAGAACGGTGTACGTGTATGAAGGGATGCGCCGATGTGAGAGAACTGCGCCTGTAAAACAGAGCAGAAAAGGACGAATGAGAAAGAAATTACAGCGAGGAACAAGTAGGGACATACTCCTAGGATTTTTTTAAAAATTACATGAAACTTTAGACATTTAAGGATGTAAAATTTTAAGTTAAAATAAACAAGATTTTTTCTAATCTTTCAATTGTTGTTTTTTTTTCTATCATAACAAAATGCAACATTGAACTGAGATCTGATGAAGAGACTAACATTTTGAATGCATCACTGACAAGATGTGTCTTCCAAGTGATTTGGTGAGACTGGAAACTGGATTCAAAAAATATTTTCTATCAAATAAAAAATGTATTAAAATGGAATTAATGTGACATTACCATACATCCGAAGAATATGGGAAGCTTGGGGTCCAGTATTTTCTTTTTAATATTGCCATATATTAAACTTCAGCGTAGTTTATAATTTCCATGTAAAATGAAAGGTTAACGCCAAAGGAGAAGACGATGTAATTACAGCTGATATTTTCTTTTAGTAAGCCATTGGATCTAGACGTGTAGTTGTTGACATAACCCCAAATAATTTGAAATGTAACTAAACCCTCCCTGTCATCTTTTCTAATTAAGCTCCTGAAAATGGACATGCTTCATAGTAACCCAGCCTTCTGGACCCTCAGCGCTCCTTTTTATAGCTCCCGCTGAACAGTTGACATTTAAGTGAATACCACCAATACCACCATTCCACTCGGCCTGAAGTCACCTTCTGCCCTTAGTCCCACTGATGAGTGACGTGGCAGCTTAGAGCTCAAACACAATGGCTGCTTTGTATGGCGGAGATGAGAGTGGTGCACTGGCTGCTGCCGCCAATCTTCATAGCGTTCCAAGTTTAGATCTGAGAAAATGTCTCTATTGTGCTCCCTGGTTAATTCACTGAAGGACAAGTCAATGAGTCCAGAAACACTAAAGTAGAAAAAGTTAAAGACTAACCAAAATGTCACCATGAAGTCACTCTTTTTCTGGCATCTGGTCAAAATCCTTTGCTTTCCCACAGAACTCTTTCACCTCTGAGTGATAAGGCCAAAACTATTACACTGACATATTAACTCACTATTTCAAATATCAAGACACAAAGTTCACACAGATACAGTTGCAATTTTTAGAAAAAACATCCTGACCAAAGGTGAATAGTTGAAGCCTTTTCAGGAACATTCACAAATGTGACAGTTGAAGACTTCCTGTTAGCTCAACTTAAATCTTGCCCATCTCTATTGCTGCAAAATCTCTCTAATACATTCACTTTTAGGTGATCTGTTTAAGAAAATAAGTTGTTTCTTCTGACAGGTTAGTGTGTTTTTACTAAAGGACAAGTGAGGTGAACCAAGTTAAGTTGTTTGTCATTGATTTTGTCTGTTCGACAAAACCGACCAGCTTCTTTGCATCAACACAGGATAATACTGCCACCACCATATATCTCCATGTGGATGCTGCTTCAGCATCAGATTTCCACCACACATTGCCTTTGGTTGTGGACCAAAAAGTTAAGATTTTTCTCATCTGATTTACTTCTTCCAAATGGTTGGTGGGTTCCCTACAAGGTTTGTGACCAACAAAGATTTATTTTGGCGTCTTTTCAACCACGACTGTTTTCTTACTACTCTTCCATGAACCCCAGATTTGTGGAGATAATAACTTGTTACCCCTAAAGTGCCTGATATGTCTTTAAGAATTCTTGAATACTTTCTGTCGGTCTCTCACATAAAATCCCTCAAAATGCCTAACTGTTTGTGTTTGAAACATGAAATGAAAATACAAAATAATAACACTTTTGAAATCCTCTGTGTGTGCAAACAAGTTTGACTCGCCTACCCTCAGCTGTGCTCAAAATGATCAGTATTACCTACCTGAGCCAGAGCACCTGAGTGCACAAGAGTCAGATCTGGCACCCATTCACATCCTGGGACCAACAACCCATACAGGGTGATGACGTAGTAGGGTCCGGAGTACAGCATGCTCACTAGCATCTGGCGAATGTGAATGCAGTTTAAGACATTGAAGGTCAGGATGATGTTTTATCATACTTTATGTCATTGAGTTACCTGGACTTTGGGGTAGGCGGAGGGATCTTTTAGGTACGGCTCAAACTGCTGGGTGTAGTCCTCACACCATTTACTGGCGCAGTCCAGAACAACCTCCAAAACAAATACGGGCCACTGATGAATCATTTCACCAGTCCAGGTTTTATACTTGTTTATCCTTTCACAGTTTCTTACCAAGCCTCTGAAGACACAAAAGGCCAAAGCTGGAATGAGGTAGACAGTAAACAGCAAATCCAGAGGTCTGTGGAGCAAGTTTGTCCGCTGTGATTCCTGAATGCTCTGTAAAATGACATTCGACTAGTTTTCAGCTGTCTGTGCTCCTGACATGAGCATCTTACAGCTTAATGCGCTTTGCTGTCTTCATCGTTGAGAGAAAATGACCAAAGATCACCACTGAGATCAGAGCTGCTGTTGAAAAAGTTACACCAGCAATTTGTACTGTTATTTTCTGGATTAGGATCTAGACACATAATGGGCGTACAGGTTATTATTAAGTTTGTATATAAAAATAACATTAAGCATTATTACATTATTACAAAACCTACCAATTTTCTGAATAATATGAATTAGCCAATGGAAGTATAAATCTGCAGTCACCAGTGCTTACTAAATTAGAGATTTAAGATAAGTATGATGACCAGGAAGAATTTAATTTTTTAATTTATTTATTTATTTATTAAATTTATTATTATTATTATTATTATTATTATTATTATTATTATTATGGAGAGGATTGCCTTCCCATTTATTGACAGAGCTGTTTTTTCTGCTCCTTGTTATCATCTGTGGGCTACAGACATGTTCTTTCTGTTTGTATTTTTAAGTTTGGAGCAAAAATGTGCAGAAATAAAAGTTTGTGTTAAATGCTTCTGTTTCCCGTGTCTTTTATTTTTGTGCCAGAAATGCTAAAATGTCGCTTTTTATAAGACAGTCAGTATGTGAATGAAATTTGTGATATATTCTCATTTTGACCACTCATCTCAGACAGAGATTCACATTACGAGCTCAAATCTGCTTCAAATTTATGTTCAAATTGTTGACTTAAGCTGAGTTTGAGAATCATAGTTTTTTCATATGTAATTAGTTTTGAGGCAATGAAATGCCTGTATGTTATAATTAGCACTGTTACCCTGAATGCTTATCCCTGGAACTTAATTACCCCGTGTTTTCCATCTATCCCTCCAGATCAGATTCGACTTCTCTACAGTTCTGCCAAGAAGTCAATAAACTTGTAGGTTTTGTTTCCATTGTGCAAAAGAATCACTGATGAACTATAACTGGTAATAATCATATTTCATAAAAATCCAGACTAACCCTTTGAAATCTGTTATTTATCCACATCCTGCGTGGGTTTGATGTCACTTTGATTTCTGCCTTTGAAACCAAGAGGAGTAAAACTATCTAACCCCTAAAACCCTATAATATTATTTTGTCCACATAATTTACTCCTTGTGTCTTCACAGACAGGTGGAGGCAGAAGTTATTGGTTTAAATAAACAATTTTACACTCAAAGTAACAAAAAGGACGAACTGCAGTGTAGTTCAAACTGCTGTATTTCAAATGATTAGCAGCCTGTGACATTCGTTTTCTACCCTGATAATATGTTTTTTTTTCTGCTTGTAACTACAGTGAAATGCTGACGCTGATGATTGATTGGCGAATCAATCTGCTTTCTGGAAACGTTTACTTTTGTGGCTTATATTCTAAGCAGAAGATGTAATAAAGAGATCATGATGAGATTTGACTGTAGCAGATGGTTCAAGTCATCTATTCAAGTGAGTCAAAAGCAACTCTCCATGTAGATTAATAGAGGATGTGCAGAGGAATCCGGTAACTCACCGTTAACTGAGCATCGTGTGTAGAGGGTTGGCTAAAGATCCGGAAGCAAGCCCAAACAGACACTGAGATATAAAGCATGTGGAGAATGAAGAGAGGAGTGACTTGGCTCCCATATTTTCCTGGAAAATATGATAACATATCACCGTGAGAAACACAGATTCCCTTGAGAATTAGGAGTTGCTGACCTAAAGATACCCCCATTATTTTTGGTGTTCTTACCCACAGCATTCCCGAGAATGTAGACCATGGTGCTCATGAGAAAAGAACCCACCCAGTACAGTCCAATCGCTCGGTAACTGTCCCTGCACAAACCATATAACACTGCAATTATTACTGCCGGAACCACATGTACCGGCTCACACTTGGATGGACAGGTCATACCCCCAAGTAATGGCAGCAATCACAAGCAGGTACATAAGATAATGCACACAGCCATCCCAATAGGAAATCATATGTCCATGTGCTGTATTAATGTGTGGCTCTGCCTGCAACACAGAGATTTGTTTGTAAAATCTATATGTGAGCCACACGCTGTACGCGCAGTAGTTTTTACCTCTTTGAGGTAAAACGTCACAAAGCCATCAATGATGTTGTCTTGCTCCAGCCCAATGATCAGGTTCACCACGCTCAGGAATGCCAACACTGCATACACTGCATTGAAGCAATCAGTTAGTTGGTTAGTAAACAAAAATAACAATAACAATAATAATTGTGTGGTCATGAATAACAAAGTAGTGGATATATTAAGACAAGGAAATCATACCATAGAAAAGAGGATCAACAGGAGCTTTCTTCTTGAGCATGAAACGAACTGAAATGGTCAGAATGAGGACTGCTGTGCATCCAGCGAAGAAGAAAGCTTCTGCACTGAATATTAAGCAACAATAAATAAATAAGAAATTCTGATCTTTCGAATAAAACAATTTGAATAACACTACACGGACATTAATAGTTTTGCAGACCCCAAGCCGAGTTAGTTGAAAATGCACTTACCTGTTGTTGTAAATGAAGGAATTGAATAAATAACAGAAAGGGATGGACATCAGCGAGAGCATGAACACTCCGGTCCCGGCAGAAGCGCTCATTGTTGATCCTCTGGGGTTTTCTTGAAGAGAAAATAAAATCAACAGAGATCAGTTCCAGAAAAGTCCCCGAGCAGTCTGCGTCATGTTTGGAAAACAGGGATCTCTTCCAGTCATCAAACTTTCAGTCCTGCTCTCACTTGTGGGTTCAGTCTTGTCCCTCTCGTCTTTCTGGATCATGAATGTTTTTTTTTCTCTCTCTCTCTCTTTCTTGTTTTACCTCTTATCAACGTTCAGGGGCGCTCTCGCACACAACTGCTCATGTTTTATGGACAATCTGCCATGTTTCATACTAATAAGACAGGAAACAATGGAAGGAGATTTTTTTTTCATTATTGTGAAATTATAAACTTAAAAAAAAGGAACCGACATCTAGTCGTGGATTATAAAAAACGACACAAGGCATCATCTCCAAAAGTGCAGCGTAACAATAAAAAAGCTCAATAAACATTTACACACTATAATGATTCAAATGCAGTTAATAAGAACAAAAGCACAAAGTAAAAAAATATATTTAATTCTACTCTTGAGTCAGTAACTTCAATTCAGAGTTAGATAAATATGTCAAAAATCATTATCTTAAACGAATCTTTAATTATTTCAATATTTCAGAATTTTATATATCCATATATTTAATATATGCATATGCAATATCTGATTTAGCAAAACTGAAAAGTACACGTAATGTAAATAAACATGAAAATTGAGGACTATTTATATATTTATTTACGACTGTGTTGAAATTTGTGGAACTACACAGAGGAGCCCACCAGGGGGCAGTAATGAGACTTAAACGAGGCCAGACGCCGTCCAATCCAAAACGAGGAAAATGTGTTTTGTAGGAAGTGCGTCTCTTTAGCAACCGAAGAACCTGAGCAATGGCCTCCTGCGCGATGGACAATACGTAAATAAACCAATCACCTCTGCTGTCGCGACACGGTATCATTAGCGCCTTGCTGTTTGCAGGATCAGAGGCAGAAACACTGCTGCGGCTCGTCATGGCCAGCGGAGGCGGATTGGCGTCGAACCAAAGCGGTCCGGAGGCTCCGTCCAACTCGGTACAATGCGGAGCCGCAGCGGCTCTGTGCAACATGCCAGCCTCGGCTCCCGCACCGTCCGCCTCCCCGCCGGGCCTCGGCCTACAGCGGGAGCCCGTCTACAACTGGCAGGCGACGAAGAGCTCCCTGAAGGAGCGCTTCGCTTTCCTCTTCAACAACGAGCTGCTCAGCGACGTCAGGTTCGTCGTCGGGAAAGGCAGACAGGCCCAGAGGATACCTGCTCATAAGTTCGTCCTGGCCGCTGGCAGCGCCGTGTTTGATGCCATGTTCAACGGGGGGATGGCCACCACTTCGGCTGAAATAGAGCTGCCTGACGTGGAGCCTGCAGCTTTCCTGGCCCTGCTCAGGTAAGGTGGGACGGGTGGTCCCAGACCCCCACACAGCGTTCAGAGTGCTGCACACCGGGAATGCACAGAGAAAAAACAGAAAAAGTCACTTTAAGAACAAATTAACACAAGTTGTTTCCACACCAGCTCTTTCGAGACCCTGCGAGGATAAGCGTGTTAGAAAATGGGAGAACCTGTAACACAGTTTAAAACTCTAGATCATTTCTGCACTACGTTGTTTTGATCTATTGTTGGAAATCCTAATGAAATACATTGAATCTTTTGTTATATGACAAAATGTAAGGGTAGACGATACGTAGACCTAAAGTTTCATCACAATATTTTGTGGTAGTATTGTGACTCGGCCTGTCACGATGGCAAATGTTGCTGGACGATAAATCGTCCCAGAAGGTATCAGCAAAAAACGATGATATTGTTGTTTTGAGACCATTTTCGGGTAACAAAACGGCAATGGCATAATAATGGAAAAACACATTCTGAAAGATCAATAAACTTTGAATTCTAATGAACATTTAACACTGGAACTGGAAGACATTTTAAATATCCAAAACAAATAAGTAAAACAACAGAAACAAAAAATTAAATAAAATAAATGATAAAGTCTTTTAAATTTATAAATTATAGACAACATTTTTCTTAAAAAATGTCTGGCTGAGACCGAAGCACCAGAATGAAGACCAGTTTCTTGTAGAAAGAAAGAGAAAGGAGGAAAACAATAAATCATGCAAATGGAAATTATTGAGCTTGTTTTAAGTTATCGTGTGATAACTTAATTGATTTATTCTTCACTGTGACAGGCCTAATTGTAGTAACAACAAACATGACCAGAAAAACTACTTAATACTTCTTTTTCACACAACTTCCTGGCTGTGGCTGCAAGACACAGCAGTCACAGCCCCACGAACTCAAACACTGTTTTTAAAAAACATACACATCTATAATGCGCTTCTTTAGGTTACCAGTCACATAAAGAAGTAACAGCACACATTAACTACATTTAATTACATTTTAAAATGTATTGATGCTTTTATTAAAGCAAACAGTGGAGAAGAGTCTAAAAATAATGATCTAGAGAATATATACAGTATTTTTAGACATTAACTAGAATCAAAATCAAAATTCTTATTGTGTTTATCACAATAAAAGATACATGCCCACCCCTAAACCAAATACATGTGAAAATATAGATTTTCTTCACATTTGAATTTGAAGCTTAGGGTAGCTTGGTGAAAAATGCTTATTCTTGTTCTTACTATTTATATTTTTGCTCTGTAGGTTTCTGTATTCCGACGTGGTCCATATTGGTCCAGAGACTGTGATGACGACTCTGTACACAGCGAAGAAATATGCAGTCCCAGCTCTGGAGGGCCACTGTGTGGAGTTCCTCACCAAGCACCTCAGAGCCGACAACGCCTTCATGCTTCTCACTCAGGTTACTGCCAGTCAACGCAGCTGTGTCGTCAATATATGATAGTAGAGGAACGAAAAACACTGAACAATGTAAACACTGCTCTTGGATGCAAAGTGCCTTTACTCAAGCGTGAGATAATGTTCTTTCTAAAGCCATTATTAACTAGTGGTTGTTTTAAGACATAAGTCACTTGGTCTAATCTCCATTTATATTTTCTTGGGATATTAAGAGCCTCTCAGTTTTTCCATGTAGGTGTTTAATTACATTAGCTGCTCTATTTTGTGTTTATTTCTTCAGGTTTCAACATTTTGTTCTACAGTTGCTTGATATTTCTTTAACATCTTGACGGACTACAATGTAAAACATAGATTCTTTCACAAAACCTATGCATCACACAGTCCCAGTAGTGGTTTCCGAGTGTAATTTTTGCAAGTGAACCAATGGCAGTTGAAGGATTTTCCTTATTATCCCTTAATTGGCTCTGATTATCAGGTCACACACTAAAGAAAATTTTTTCCACTTGTTTATTAAATGCATGAAAAATAAGATACACTGACTATATTCTTGTATATGTATATATCTATAGTTCTTAGGTTTTATTTAAGTTAAAATTAGATAACATTAGGGACATGTGCTTCTGCTGTTAGATAAAAATATATCAGCTCCAGTAAGGAACTTGTGGCCTATGTTTCTGCAAGTGTTTGCTACATCCTTAAAACCTAAATTAGTAGGTCAGTCCAAAAGGAAGTGCATGTTCTTATTGTTGTAATTTCATTATATTTTAAGCTTAATTATACGTTTCCCTCAAAACTACAGTATTGTTACAAATCACAGTATCACAATATATGGAGTAATTTAGTCTATAGGTGAACCCATCAATTAACAAATTTTCTCTTGGTTTGTGGGTCAGATAGTGAAAATTTGTTTCTTTTTTCTTATAAAATGCATTAAAACTGAAAAAAAAACTACATTTTCAGTCAATATAGTGTTTACACAGCTAAAACATAAAATCTTAAGTATTTAAGAGTCTAGATTCTAGTCAAAATATGTGTGTAGTGTTGAAATAAGACAAAATTAAGTTACGAATAAAATTTCCACTTGTTTTGAGTCAATAATTTCTTAGTATTAATTGAAAAAAGATTAGATAGATTCTACTGGAATTTTTTTCACTTAAAGCAACAGAAAAATGCCTTATAAAACTTAGATACTTAAATCAAATTTAGACGAGGGTTAGAGACAGAAACAGAGGTAGGTTTGTTATATAATCTCTCAAAAAACCAGCAGTGCATTTTTTCTCATGTCTTGCACTTTGTAGAATTGGGGGTAAATGGCAGCTTAGACTGGAAATTCCCCATGAAGTGCCTGGTTGGTGCATCTCCAATGAAATTACAATGTTTAATTTGATTCATCGTATTTCATCACTGGCATGGTTTTGTGTTAGTTTTTCATGCTGGTAAAATTCAAATGTTGCGCATTATTTAATTGCTGCAGCCAGCCTTTAACAAAACGAATGGCTGTAATCTGAATATTCTGCTCTATTTCACAGGCGAGGTTATTTGATGAGCCTCAGCTTGCCACGCTTTGCTTGGACACCATCGACAAAAGCACAGCAGACGCAATAAACGCAGAGGGCTTCACTGATATTGACCTTGGTATGCGAGTCTCCTTCACTCTGTGTTTGCTGCTCCGCCACTTTGTTGTGGGATCTAAAAGTATAGCTGCACCGTGTGTTTGTGTGTGTAGATACTTTATGTGCAGTGTTGGAGAGAGACACACTCAGCATCAGGGAGAATCGTCTGTTCGAAGCAGTGGTCCGCTGGGCAGAGGCGGAGTGTTACAGACAACAGCTTCCCCCGACCTCAGAGAACAAGCAGAAGGTTCTGGGAAAAGCGCTCCCGCTCATCCGCTTCCCGCTCATGACCGTCGAAGAGTTCGCAGCCGGTATGTGTCCTGGCAGAAGGACCGTTTGGTTGTCAGTGGGTCTTGAGCAGATCAGCCATCACTGATCTGCTGAGTTCTTCATGTTTCCTGATGTGTCCATACAGCTCCAACCACAGAAACCAGTTTGATATTTTTTCTTGTGCGACAGGGCCTGCCCAATCTGGAATATTGTTCGATCGGGAGGTGGTAAATCTGTTTTTACACTTTACAGTAAACCCCAAACCACGGGTCGACTACATTGACAGGCCTCGCTGCTGCCTCAGGGGGGAGGAGTGTAGCATTAATAGATTCCAGCAGGTTGAGAGCCGGTGGGGGTACAGCGGCACCAGCGACAGAATCAGGTCAGCTTACGCTCGTTAGTCGACACCGGGATGAAACCCGTGGTTCGTTTTAATAACTGTTCTCCTGTTTACGTTT